GTTCAAACCAGTTTCTGACCAGGTTCAAACCAGTTTCTGACCAGTTTCAAACCAGTTTCTGACCAGTTTCAAACCAGTTTCTGACCAGTTTCAAACCAGTTTCTGACCAGTTTTAAACCAGTTTCTGACCAGGTTCAAACCAGTTTCTGACCAGTTTCAAACCAGTTTCTGACCAGTTTTAAACCAGTTTCTGACCAGGTTCAAACCAGTTTCTGACCAGTTTCAAACCAGTTTCTGACCAGTTTTAAACCAGTTTCTGACCAGGTCTAGACCAGTTTCTGATTGAGCTTAATCCGATCAGAATTTCCCGGTTGGTGTGTTTTTCCGGTTATGCCCATGTAAACGTGCCTGCTGAGATGTTAAAGGAGTTCTGGTTCTGATGTCTGGAGGTGTAAATGGACCCGCTGGACTGAGATCAGACTGTGATTCTGGGACAGAACGTTTTACATTCAAACCTTAGATCTAAAAGGAAAAGCATAATACTGGACTCGGGCTCTTCCCAGGTAACTCTCTAACTGACCTCTGACCCCTCACCTCTGACGCTGAGGCGCCCGTGCGCTGGTCCATCCACAGCCACCAGGTGAACGGCGTTGATGTTGTCCTTGTCCACGACCTGCAGCTCCTCCCAGGTGATTGGTCGGGACTGACCCTCCAGCAGGTCCAGACCTGAGGCGTTCAATGGCTGTCAGAAATCTTAGCCTGTGTTTATTGATGCTGGAGGTAAAAAGCAATGTACCCATGTTCCAGGAGACTCTAGGTGCGTTTGTTTCTGACATCCTGATGGACAGGTGGACCAGGATGGACGGGCTGCTCGTAAAGAACCCGTCTATAGCCTGGAACTCCACCTGAAGAGGACACAGAGGTGTGAACCGGTTCTACTGGGTCAGAACCAGAGCCCTATTGACTGACCAGTGCTGTCTGGATCTGGACGGTACCTGCAGGCTCCGGCGGAGGCTCTGGCTGCTGTTGGGGGGCTGGTAGGCCACCTTCATGTCATGCAGGTCCAACCAGGTGAAGGACCCGACCGGCCTGGTGTGGTCCTCCAGGTGTGTGATGTACCCCTCTGTAGGAGGCGCTGTGACGTTAAACACCAGCCGGTCCTGCGGCGTCTCGGGGTCAGTGGCGTCCAGCGTGGCAGTGCTGAGCGGGGTGAGGATGAACTGGTCCACCTCCAGGATGGAAGAGGCCATGAAGCCAGGCTTGGGGGGCTGGTTCTGCACTGCGCCTTGGATCAGAACCGGCAGCCACAGCGCCTGTGACTGAGAGAAGCAGAAGAAGATGCCATGTTAAAATGAACACGACATCCAGAAGCAAGTGGAAATCAGCATGACGCATGGGTGGGATTGTATGTGTCAGGAGTGATGGAAGAATGTTTAGATCCATCAGCTGAGTTGGCGCTGCCAATAACCGCGCCACACCACCACGTTTCCCTCCGAACCCCCCGCTTCCTGCCGTACCTCCAGCAGCTTCCGAGTTGCCTGCTCCCTCAGCTCCACCCGGATTGGGATGTAGTCTGTGTCAGGGGACGGAGGACTGAGGTGTTGGTACCTCAGTCCGGAGCTCAGGAAGTTCTGGCAGCTGGTTTTAAGGAACTGGACCTCAGTGGTGTGGTGGAGACACGGTTTGTTTCCAGGACAGACTTCCTCCACCTGCCGGCCTAGAGGAGAGGAGATGGTTCTGTTGGGCTCAGATGAAAACCAGATGAAGGTCATAGCTCAGGTCTGATCAGGTGTTCTGAACCTCTCCGGAGACCTGAGTTGTCCTGGTTGACCAGCCGGCCGATTGTTGGGAACTTGGTTTCTGCGGTCATCAGCCTGACGGTGCAGACCAGGTCCTCTTGGTTCCTGATGTTCAGCACGGTGCTGTTGAGGGTGTTGGACAATCCAAAGAACCGAGGAACCACCAGAGGACTGCCGCCCAACTCCGCCACACTGGACCCTCCATCCACCACCTTGACCCTGAGCACCACTGTCTCCACCTGCATGTATGAAGCTGTGAACCTGAGGAAGGAAAACTTACAGTCTGAGTTCTGGTACCACAAACAGGAAAAAACAAGGTGGTTCAATAAGACCAGAGCAGGTTCTAGTTTCAGAAACATTGGAAAATTCTGGTTCTGTTGGGTGTGGCCCGTCTCCATGTGTGTCCCTACTGATATACTCGGAGCAGCACTGAGTCCTCCTCCAGCAAAGGACTGCCATTGTGAATGTATCTGACCTCATCCTTCAGGAAACTGCAGTCAAACATCTGTGGAGCAAAAACCCTGTAAATCCACAGGCTCAGTCACCTGACCTGCTACAGTCACTCTCACCTGTGGAGTCAACTTCCCCACCCTTTGGGTCACTGGCTCGTTCAGTACCACCTCGACCTTGCAGTCGGAGCTCAGATCCACTTGGATCTCCAAGTCCGACTCAGTGATGGACACCGAGCGACCTCGGAGGACCTGCACACCAGGATTCACTTTCACCATGAAGCGGGAGCTGCTAGCCGAAACCAGGAGGAGCAACAGAACCAGAACCGCTCCGACGAAGGCCATGATGGGTCCCTGAACGTCTTGTTTACCGGTTTAGCTGAGGAACTTCAGAGCTTCATGGCCGCCACCGTCAGCGAGTCTATCTGCAGCCTGGAGGAAAACATGAGGAAACATCTCAGTTCTGACTCATTCACAAACTCCATGACTCGGAGGAAACACGAGTCAAGGAATGGGACAAGAGGAACAACTGAGGGAAAGCGAGTCACAGCTGCAGCTGTTGGACAGAAGTCTGACCAGGATGTTCAACACAGTTGCATGTTTTAGCTAAATCCAGCCTGACCTTTGACCTGTAAGTCACATGGGTCCTGAGTTGGTTCTCTATAACAGCCAGATCCCCGAGGCTCTGATAGGAATGTCTGACCCAGCAGGCAAATTAATTCAGATCAGCTATACAGAAATATTCCCAGGAACATCTGATACCAACCCTTATCATCAGAGATGATCCCAGCCCCATCATGGTACCACCTCTGACCAACAGCCTGGCTGCAGGGCCTGGAGAACTGATCTCAGCTGGAGTCCACCAGGAGATCTTCTAAACCTCTTGGCTCCTCGGGCTGAGGGACTGAACCAGGATCAGATGTTGATCCCTGTGCAGGTCTACGTCTGCTTTAATCACGGATGTTCTGCAGTTTAATCAGATGCTCTTCTTCTTCTCTTCACAGTAATGCTGCATTCAGTCATCTGTGCTCAGAGAGTTAACCTTTTACCTCCTGAGAGCATGTTTAGGTAATCTAGCTGTTCTGAGGTCAGTTTGGAGCTGAATCCTGCAGTGATACATTCCTTGGTGATTCCCAGATCAACTAGCGAAGCTGACAGACTCGGTCTGACGGTTTCAGATTCAAAGAACCTGGAGAAGATCAAGTTTGAGAAAAAAGCTGAACAAACCTGAAGCTGCTGCTATTGTTCAGCTCCGTCTCTTCAGAATGAAGCACAGATCTTCAGCAGCTCCACGGCTCGCTGCGACCTCCACACATCTGGTTTCAGCACACTGAGGCAGAGAAAGGAGAGCCGTGGCAGAGAGAGAGAGGAAGGGGGGGCAGGAAGTTCGGGGCTTCACAGCCTCATCTCTCCGTCCGCCTGGGAGGCGAACTAATGACTCGGATCCCTCAGAGGGACGAGTCCTGACCTGCACTGAGACAGAGACGCCCTCATCTGGCAGCTGAACCAGAAAACTACTGCAGGAAATATACTGGACCAGAAAACTACTGCAGGAAATATAGGAAATAAAAATATAGACTCTAGGAAATATCCAGACTCCAGAGGAAAAAAAAACAGAACAAGAAATAAAAATGTCTGAAACCAGAGTTCAGTTCCAGGAAATACCCCATCCCAGAATCAGTAATCAGTGTTGAGAAAATGAGTGGACTCCAGTGAATAGACGGCACCAGCTGAGCTGGGTGCCTAATCTCCAGGTGCTCCATGCCACCAGCTGGAGGCGCCATTTCTACTGCCAGGGTTCTGAAAGGACCAAGAACTGGACCTCTCCTTGTTCAAGGTCCGGTTCTTCTCCAGTCCTGGAATGTGAAAACAAACATGGAGACGTTTGGACTTCCTCTTCGTCCGTCTTCTCTGGTCTGTTGTTCTCATCAGGAGACAGACTGCTCTCCCAGCACGCTGCGGCCCGGTTTCTGACCCGGTTAATGGAAGAACCAGGAGCAGGAAGCGGTAAATAAATCCGGATCGTCTTCTGACTCCATTTAATGATGTGTTCTTGTTCAGTCAGAAAAAGCTGCTTCAGAGCAGATGAACAGAACCAGAACCGCCTCCTAACAGCGGACTGAGCCAGGTAACAGGGCCTGGTCTCCTGCAGAACCCCAACTGGCTCTGGTCCAGAGGTCAGCTGGTTCATCACCTCCCAGTTTGACAAGTTCAGTCTGGAACTCTGAGGCTGCAGACCAGTCAGAGGGAACTGAAACATCCTGGGCTCTCACTGAAGCAGGTTTGAAAACTTTAGTATTTCACCAATCTTTATTTTGTATTAAATAAATCGCAGCACGGTCCATGTTTGGTACCGTTCGGACCCCCAGAGCCCCGGCCCCCGTTCTCTCCGCGCTCCTGGACGGAACCTGGAGCCCGGTTGTCTGTCAGACGGATTTACGCTGATCGGATCTTGGCTGCCAGGAACGGCGCCGCTGCCTGATCCGTTCTGACTGCTACCCTTTTGCCGTGGTGACTTCGGAGCTCGCCACGGCGTTTGGCCCCCTGCCCACCGCTCCGGGGCCCCGGGGCCCCTGTCAGCCTGACGTTGTGACTCCTCTGCTGCTTGAAATTAATTTTCTTCCTCACTGACCCAGAATGAAGTCCTGGAAGCGGTGGCGGGATGTTCTGCTACTTTGTTGATGCTCAGTTTGGGAAGTTCTGGCTGCCGAATCTGCAGGATCCCAACAGAACCATCCGCCCCAGCTGGTGGGCCCATTCCCCCCCAGAGGGCCTGTTTCCAGGTGAGCAGCCTCCAGTCGGACCGCAGGGGTTCCGTGTTGGCAGCGGAACCAAGCAGCGGGTCGCTGCCAGCCTCATGGCTCGGATTCAGCCGGATGGCACCGGCCCACGTAGCGCTACCGATCCGGAGAGTCCAGCTCTTCATCACTGGGGAAACATCATCATCATCATTTGGCTGTGAGGAAACGATCAGAACCAGAACCACCAATACAGTCCAAGAGGAAATGATCCAAAAGGTCCGGATCAGTCGTGGTTCTGATTTCTACCCTCTGCTGTCTGGTTCTGGGGAAATTTCATCCCATTTCCTGGATTCATATTCTGACCCAAACTAGTTCCCAGCTGGTTCTGTTTGAGCCCAATCTGCCAGATTCCTCAGTCTGATCAGGAGATCAGAACCAGACTGAGGGTCAGAACCCGTCCAGTGAAGTTCTGGGCTGTAATCTGACCCGGTTCTGTTGGAACCAGTAGCTCTGTGGACTGATGTCCTCTCAGGCCATTACACCCATTCAGCTCCCATACTGGTGATCTGTGGAGGTTCCCACTGGAAAGCTGTCGGTTCTGATCCGTCACCTCCACTGACTGATGGACTGACACCGCCCCCACCGCCCAACACCACCCAACACCACCCAACACCACCGCCCCCCAGGAATGATGGGAGAACTGGGAGGCCTGCAGGACAGCCAGCAGTCTGAGGCCGGACTAAAGCAGTGGTGTGTGTGTGTGTGTGTGTGTTGGGGGGGTAGGGGGGGGGTCTGGTCTGGCCCTCCACCCACCGCCAGCAATGAGGAAAGAGGAGCTCATCCTCAGATTATGCAAATGAAGTTTTGTTTTGATGCAGAATGAGCCGGACTGGCTGCTAATGTCTCTGAAGTCGTGAAAGGGCGAGACTTCCTGGGAGAAATACCAGGGGGGGGTGGGGGGTCCGGTTAGAGGGGGGGTCCGGGTAATGAGCGAGGCTGGGGAGGGGGGCTGCTCCCCCAGCGTTATACATTATCATATTTCCACGTAATTACTTGGGTTTTCCACATGAAATGAGGAAGCGGCTCGACGGTGCGTTCACTGCCGCGGGAAAAGTCGACTCTGCCTGTTCTGCTGCTCCACCACGAAGACGACCTTTGACCTTCGCATTCACTTCAACCACAGCCATCAAGCTGGAGAATGCATGGATCTGATCAGTCAACAGGTCAGATCGATCCTCGGGGATCCTGAGGGATTTGGAAGGGTCACCAGGGGTCATGAAGGGTCACAAGGAGTTCTGAGGAATTCTGAAGAGTTGTGAGGGATCCCTAGTGTTTTTAGAGATCATAAAAGATCCTGAAGGGGTCATGACGAGTTGTGAGCCATCCTCAAGGGTCCTAATTGGTCTTGAGGGCTTCTGAGGGCCTCCAGCAGGAAGGGAAAAGCTGAAGAACAAAACACAAACATGAAGCTCCTGCAGCAGAGTTCAGATCTCCAGCCGGGTACTCAGAACCTTTCCCAAACTTTCTGGGCCCATCAGAACCAGATGAATGTTCATTTCTGAAACAGAGACTATGTTTCCAGGAAGAAAGGAAATAACACCAGATGAGTGAAACCCAGGAGTCTCGGTTCTGGAGGTCCAGATTATTTAATCTATCCTGATTTGCTTTCCGGACTCTGGTCCAGTTTGCCGTCCGTCTGTGAGCTGCTCTGCTACTACGGAGATCCAAGCAGAACCTGAACCAGGAAGAACTTATTTTCCAGAACCAGAACAGTCAGCTGGTCTCTGCAGTACCTAGCAGGGATTGGTGTAAACTTCTTCATTTAATGGTCTGTACAGGACTGCTACCTGGGTAAACTGGTCCAGAACCGTCTGGCTTATGAAGATTAAAATCAGAGATAATAAAACTCCAACAGCACCAGACCTAATTTGAGTCCTAGAACCGACCCGTCTTATTCCATCCAGCTGTCCTCTGACTCCTCTTCAAAACTTCTCTGAAGTCCTCTGAGCCATGACCCTGCTCTCCATCCGTCCCCGGGGGATCTGCTGTAGAAAGTCACCTGTCACCATGGGAACCGGAGGCCGCGTGGGCTCAAGCAAACCCAGGACCGGAGGCCGGGGTGGCGTGCGTCCCACGGAGCGTGCTCAGTGAAGCAGCAGCGAGCAGTAGCTTCAGATTAGTCTGCAGAGAGCGGAGAGGAGCTGGCGCCGATCCGAACGTCATGCTTCATCAGCCAGTTTCTGTCTCTGCTGCTGGCTGCAGATTCATTCTGAGGCCACCGCTGACCGAGCCACTGCTGCAGTCTGAGGCCGCCACATCGGACCGAACCGGATGAGACCGAACCGGATCAGATTGGTCCACTTCTGGAGAGCGGTTTCACTCTGAAGCAGCAGCTGAGACATCAGTGGTTCAGTCCAGGACCGGTTCGATCTGACGTGGCGGTTCGGTCCGATGCGGTTCGGTCTTCAGTGGTTCTGACAGATTCTGGTGGTGCAGCTCTGTGCTGCCTTCAGGAGAATGGGACATCAGAGTACCATCCACAAAACTTCACCCACATGGCATTTATTGTGCAAACCAGAGCTTTCAGTGGAAAAACAAAAGTTCCTTTTAATGCCATACAAATATGAGACAGAAACATGGATTATATCTTTATTTAGCCCTGTCTATTGATTTATAGATTAATAGTTTTACTGGACAGAAATTACAAAAAACAAATCTGGTTCTTAATCAAATCCTAATGAGTCAAATTGAAAGTGTCATGGAGTCACTTAACGGCATCATTACATTAAAACTGACATGAAAAATAATACTGAAGAAATAAATATATCGAATCTAATTAAAAAAAAGTGGTAAGTTTCTTACTGTTATCGTCTGTAAAATATATTCCTTCTTAGTACTAGATGTGTTCTCAACAAACACATGGTACAATATTATCTTACCTTTTATCTATAGTCTTTGTTCTTGCCATATCAGTTTATTCCTCTGTATTTAGTTTCTTAGATAATTCTTGCATTTTGTTCATTTTAATTTAGTTTCCTTTGATTAGTTTTATCCTTTCTTGGTTTATTGTTATGTCCCCTTTAGTTTCTCTCCTGTTATTAGTTTTATTTGATCGTTTTTATTGACTCACCATCTGCTCCGCCTCATCGTCATGTGTTTCAGCTGATCTGCCACTTTGAGCTCTTTTCACTGTTCAGCGTGAATCAGATTCTCTGGTCTTGATTCACATCTAGTCCGTTAAACCGCTCCATGTCGCGGTTCTCCTGTTTGTTTCTGAGTTTTGCGCTCTCTTTTTTACCCCCTACTGTGCGTTGCTGTCGGGGAGCGTATCGAGGGGGAAAGACAGACTGATGTAAACCTGTTACAACATCGGAGAAAATCCCGTTAAAGATGGTAACTAAAATGAACGCTCTCTATCATGGAGTCACCCATGGAGGGATTTGTTTATTAAACGGATTCATTTTTCTGAGGGGCACACGGTGAAGGTTTTTGATTTTAGCAGTTTATCAGAGCGATGTTGCTCTTCCATGGAAACATGCAGCATCCAGACGGATATTAAACACTTATCCCGTTTTAATTTAAAAGTCGTGTCAATGTTGCTGCTTTGACACGACTTTATAATATAATAATATATTATTGTAAAATATTGTAATATATAATATTACAATATTATATAATATTGTAAAACCAGACACCTGACCTGACCAGTGAATCACAGCAACAAGGCCGGTGTAACCCTGAACTGATGAGGTGAAGCTACGAGTAGCAGGAGAACGGAGCTGCGCCAACAAGCTAACCGAAGCTAACCGAAGCACTGAACATTAAAACAGCCAAGCATGTTTTAATGTTACACACCTCAGTTTTAGCAAGTAGCTCAGAGTCTCAACACGTATTGCTGTGCACATAAGGTGTAAAGTTTACCTTCGAGCAAACGCCCTCCAAAGGAATCGCAGCGCCACCCTTTAGTAAATTTTTCTGCCAGCGCCCCCTGCCGTACCCTGAACGCCTCCGTTGAGAAAAGCTATTTTAAAGGCTTTGTCGAAGCCTTTGAACGGGCGGTAGCGCTACAATAGTAATAAAAGCATTTTGTTTCTGATTCTGACGTGAAGTCATGAGCTAAAGGTCATCAGGCCGGGACTCGAACCGGCGAGGACTGAGGCCTCCGTGGATCACGCCCCCTGCTGGTTGGGTTCCTAAGGAAGCTTCAAAAAACCTGAAGCTGCTGCAGGTGCAAACCTCTGAGCTGCAGACACTTGTTGCAGCAGCAGAGATGAGGATTCCTCATCTTCAGCCAGAGTCAATAGAGGAGGAGGAAGAGGAGGGTGTTGGCTGCAGCAGCATGCAGCGGCGTGGCGGAGCTCCAGTCTGCTGGCCAAAGCCCAGTTGGTGCTGGATCACAGCGAGCGGTCAGCCGCCGCCTTTCACAGCCAGCTGACATCAGGCCTGGGAGAGAGAGAGAGGGTGTGTGTGTGTGTGCTGGGATCCCCCGCATCCCTCCACCTCCCTAAAGTCCCCGTCACCCCATGAGCTCCAGCACAGCTTGTATTGTAGGTGTGTAACCTGGATCCAGGAGGATTAAACTAGCTGCTGCTGCGAGTGTGTATGTGTGTGTGTGTGGGGGTGACCTGCCAACACCATGACTGTGCAAACGGTGCTGATGAAGCCAAAGCTGGAGCTGAGCTGCCAGCTGACCTGGCCGCTGGCTCCCCTGTGTGTGTGTGTGCGTGTGTGTGTGTGTGTGTGTGTGTGGGATGAGTGCTCACATCTGTTGGGAATCAGAATTTGCATCCATCTTTGGTTTATGTAATTATTAATAACTATGATTAATAATTTAGGAGTGTTTAGATGATTGAAGTTCAGGTGTGTTTTGTCGGTTAAACTCGTTTACTTTGAATCAAGTCTGAATTTATCAACAAAACCGACTTTCAGCTGAATTATCCTGTAAAAAAAACGTCAAACTAATTCAACAGGAAAACAGGATCAGCTGATCTTTATTTTCTTTTTCTTCTTTAATTTCTTTGAAATTATTTTCAGTTTTCTGTTTCATTTTGTCTCAGTTCATTAACCCATTTATTTCCTCTTATTGGTATTATTATTGTTATTAACATTGTATCTGTTGAGTGCTCTGTGGTGGTACAGGGGTTAAGCAACCCACAGTTGGAGACCTTAGTCCTTGATGCAGCTGTCACAGGTTCGATTCCCAGCATTGGAGATTTTTGCTGCATGTCTTCCCCCTTCTCTCATTATCCACTTTCCTGTCAATTAACTATCAAATAAAGGTCACTAGAGCCAAAATAAAATTAATATTATATCTGCTAACCTTCCTCTGATCGCAGCTACTTGTCTCATTGAGCTCAGAATAAAATAGAAATAAAGACAGAAATAAAAATCCTGGCAGGAAACTAATAGCATATTATATTATAATGTATTATATTAAATTACACTATATCATATTATGAGAGTATATTAGCATTTCTTACAATCAAGTTCTTTTTGTAACCAGGGGAATTTTTTCCATTTCTGTTAGATTCACTTTTATTTATTTTAATTTAAAGATTTATTTGATAAAAGTCCTCATTTCCTTAATTTGTTTTAAGCACAAAAATAAACCAAACGAGAGCAAACCCCGTTCAGTGTCTGTTCTCGCGTGATTTTAGCGTCACATGACCAGCCGTACGTCAGCGTCTTAACTCTAATGGCTGCGCCTCACCAGTCCAGCTGGGAGCCGGTGTCTGTCGCTGCGCATGTCGGACTCAAGGCGTTTCTAAGCCTCGGTCAGACGCTCATGTTGCTGCCTCTCAGCCTTTAGATGTGATTGTGGATGAAAACCTTCTGCTGATATCACGGTTTGACTAGTGGGAACAGGTGAGCGTTTCTTTGGGAGCTAGCATGCTAGCGCTAGCCTCCTGGTTGTTTGGGCTGTTAGTCAGTGGAAACTTATGGAGGACTAAAACTGATATGATGAGAAATAAAAGAGCATAAATATATATTTAGTAGTGATGGGTAGATGAGGCGTCATGTATCGCTTCGACACAGCAAAACTGTGTCGATACTGTGTCGCTCAATACTGACACCTGCTGGACATTAAAAATTCCTACAGGCAACGAAGTAATTTGTTGACCTAGTCCAGGGGTGGCCAAGTCCAGTCCTCGAGAGCCGCCATCCTGCAAGTTTCAGATGCATCCCTGCTTCAACACACCTGAATCAAATGACTGGCTCGTTATCAGGCCTCTGTAGAGCTGATCCCGGGCTGTTGGAGTAATGATACTTCTAAAACTTGCAGGATGGTGGCTCTCGAGGACTGGACTTGGCCACCCCTGATTAGTCCATACAGTAAGATTTAAGTCTTCGTATCTTATTGAATATTATATATTGTATTATGTCAAATCTTCAGTTAAATTTAAAATATATTTGATATACAGTCAATAACAAATGTGAACATGAACCATAAAGTGAAAATTTAAGTGAATGTGTTTGGATGAGGATCCTTGTGGACTGTATCTGTCACGTGACTTGCTGAAACCAATACGCGCACCGACACGGGTTTTGGTCTGTGGGCTTCACACGTGCGCCTACGCATCGGTGTTGCCGGATCCATCACTAATATTTAGCTTTTCCTTGTCCTTACACATGAGTTTCCGTCAAGAAATGTATACGTTTTCTTTTCATTTCCCCTAAACATGCGTTTTTGTCAAGTAAATATTCTGTTTTGTCTTTTCTTTATACAAGCCCTCGTTCTTTTGTCATTGCCTCCTCTCCTGTTTTTACTTTTCCGTGTTCATCGTTATGTTAATGAGAGCTGCCTTCTATGTCCAGCTCCTCTATGGCAAGCCATTTAAACATAAATTCGGTTTTACTACATTCCAGATATCTCAAATTGTTTTGTGATTAGACGTTTTAGCGATTTAAGATATCTCTAATTATATTTTGACTAGACAAAATAACTATTTGAGATATGTCTAATTACATTCTGACTAGTCGAGATGGCATCTTGTATGGAGACTTCAGTTCAAGATATCTAAAATTAATTACTATCTGAAATACACATTTCAGATATCTACAACTAAATGATGACTTGTGTTGAGAATGAAAATCCTAATCAATGAATCATAATTTGTATTGACACATGGAGCATAAAATCAGCCAACAAAAACATTCAGACTTTACGTATTTTATTCACTTTCAGCGCTGAAAGGAGACGCTTTACCATTACATTCGAGAAGAGTTTCTAAAAAAGTCTGTGCAGCGTCTGAGGAGAAAGAGGAGGGCAGCTGATTATATGAACTGAAGACACTCCCTGAAATCACACCATGTCTCTGTGGCCTGATAAGTTTCTGTTTCTCTCAGGAATGAGCCTTGGTGTCTGACAGAATCAAAAATGTAACTCTTTACTATGGGCCCTTCGTCTAACAGTGTGTGACTGTTTCTCGACCTGGTAAAGCGTCTCAACATTCCCCCTGTTGGTCTCTGAAGAGCCCAAAGCAAAGGAGGGAGACAAACCCTGGAGCAGACACTGTCTCTATCTGGAAACATCAACCGAGGCTTTTACAGATGTTCACATGTTCATTGATGTTCTTTCATTTCATTTCACTTGCATTTGGTGGAGGTAAAAACAGGAAGGGCACCCCACGCCTCCGAGGCGGTGGGTCCAAATCACAATGTCCCCTTACAATCCAACGACGAGTATGTAAAGAAATAAAATGTTAAGATGTTAAAGTGTTTAAAAATAGTTAAATGTTAAGATAATATGTGAAAGTTAATGAACTATAAAAGAGTAAAATGTTAAAAGAATATTTAAAAGTTAATGAAATGTAAAATGGATAAAATGTTAGGACAATATTTTAATAAAATGTTAGAATAATTTAAAAGTTAAAATGTGAAATGAATAAAATGTCAAGATGGTATTTAAAAGTTAATAAACCAAAAATGAAAAAAATGTTAAGATAATATTTAAAAATTAATAAACCATAGAAAGGTTGCAATGTTAAGAAATTCAATGTTAAGAAAATCTTAGAGGTAATGAGTATTTAAGGGTAACAGAATATAAAATGAGCACAATGATAAAATTGCAAACCAATAGAGTAAATCAGCCTGACATGTAGTCCGATAGAAATATGAGATTAATAAGCTAAAATGAGTAGATGAGTATAAAAGGCAGCATAGTTGAAATGTAAAGATACTAATAAAATCAAATGAGTAAATAAGCATAAAAATGCAGTAAGACTGAATTGCAATGAGATCAATAAAATCAAATCAGATCAGTCTTTGTTATGGCGAGACCTATCAGCGTCCAGATGTAGAGCCGGCGCAGCCTGATGGGAAACCCCATTGGTGGACCGATTTCAGCTGTAAATCGGTCCACCAATCGTGGAAGGCGCCACAGTCCCACATCCCGGCACACCCAGAAAGGATTGGGCTTTATTGTGCAACACAAAAAAACAACAAAAGTACAATTAATGGATTATATAATGAATTCTAAAGGAAAGGAACATTTTTTTTATATACTAGATACTAGTACTGCCCTTATACTCTAGAAAGCCGGAGTTCCACGGTCGTCTTTCGGTTCTGGGGAACCATCTGATAGGCAGGTGGGTTCTGTTGGTACCGCTGCCCTTCTCTATGTTGGGAGTGATGCACTGAACAGCCGAGGACCTCAGGCAGGGAACAGCAGCATCCACAGGTGATGAGGAGAGCAAGGAAGGTTCTTTAAGATTCTGCATCATCTGATTAGTACATATAATGTTCTTCTTTTTTAAAAGGTTGTTCCTTGAAGCTGAAGAGCTTTTTTCATAGATAAACTTAGATAAATAAATAGATAAACAGGGCCAATAGAACATCGATATATCAATAACATCTGTTATTTAAGTTCTCCTCTGAATAGTTAAAAAAATGCTTAAACCAAGAAACACATTTCAACCTTCAAGAATAACTTTGCTTGTTTTAACTGTTGGCATATTCAGAGGATCAGACAAAATCAGACACCAAATATAAAATCATGTAAAGGATCAGATTATGAAATGAAGGTGCAAAACTGCCCAGTCATGTTTTATCAAAGAAATATAATTTGAAATGTATATAAGATTTATCCCTAATAGAAACTTTACCACAAATCTTAAACCATATATAAATGTTTTACTTTGTTTTTTTAATTAAATTCAATCAAATAGTCCTCGTTTAACAATAACTAACTCGCTATACTAAAGGCTTGTAAAATATCATCAATAGTGTGAAAAGTTAATGATCCGTGTCAAATCAAGATGCCTTGTAATATTTTCCATTCATGTAATAAAAGACGACCCTATTTTGTCTGAAACCAAAAACTGTAAATTATGATTATGAGAAATGTTTAGACATTATTACCTTGGATCAACAATTACACATAGAACTTGATTTTTTTCTTGACCCCCTTTAAGCAGTTCCATATTTGCCAATTTAGACCAATTTTAATTTGAATCCTCATATTTTCTTTTCATTTTAGATCCTCACAGGGTGATTAGCGTGTTTTATAAGAATAAAATTCACCCTGTCTCTACATATTTAACTGACTTATTTTATTCTCATGGTTTCAAATCCCAAAAGTTCAATAATTTTAACCTTTGAACAATTTGTTCTTTTGAAAACCCATCTGTAAAGTATATATTTTTTAATAGGATCCTGAATTACCCTTTTTTGTGGGGTTTATCATATTTATCCATACATTTTTGGCACTTTTGGGGAGAAATTTGATACAACTAAATGTATTAAATGATATAAATGTTCAGGTTAGACCTTCCTGCATGACTTGGTTAAACCACCTATTATTTGGAATAATAGCAAGACCGACGCAGCAATCAAACAATCCCTTCCATGTTTTAAGAAACACTATTTTGTAAAATCTGACATGTGATATCATTGTTAATTTTAAAATATTCAATTCAGAATGTTCAGTATTACTTTAGAAACTCATCCGACTAGTTAGCTCATGTCTAATGGATGCCAATACACCTTATAACATTAGTGAATTTTGATTTAACCTCCTTTTATATTTTGCTGAAAACTAATAGTTAGCTCAAAACTGAAAATTTCTCAATAGATTAACTCACAATTTGCTTGAATAGATTAATCCCATGAACAGTGTTTAGTGTTTCCTTACAGAAACTCCTAAGAAACACACACAAATCATGTACACCAAATTGTCTTTCAGTGCCAACTGTAACAGTTGGATCTAAGTAAAACGGGGTGTTTCCAGATGCTGGTTCAATCTGCACACCTCAGTGAATGAACTGAATAGTCGATTGAAAATATGTGCAGTAAACCCATAATTTGGTTCAGTAATGCTCATTGGATACATTGTAGTCACACTTCAATTTAATTTTATTAATCATGATAAAACATTAAGACATCTTCCTGAGATGTAAAATGGAGTCCAATTAAACCTAAATCATTACATGAAATAGTAGTCATTACATAGTATATAGCCAATATAATTTGAGCGAAATACATTTTAGACTATCCTCCTTTGTATTTAAAGCGTGGTCGGTTGTGCTTGTGTAAATCAGGAAATTAACAATTATTACCGTACCTTTATCCTTTTTCAATTGTTGTCATGCTGGAGGAGAGAAACACATTAGCCAGATGTGGGACAAACAGAGTGATAATCATTCAGACAAACAAAATATTTCTGTAAACTGCAGAGTTCTAACACCCTGCTGCATGGAGCCTTCACTCGCACCGTTAAACTTATCCTGGTTATCACATAGAGGTCAGAGTGCAAAGGCAGTAGACCATGAATGTGCTGTAAATAAACTAAGGTGAGAAAATGTGGCATCACACAATGCAATAATTCAGGAAAAACCATTAAAAATTACCAAGTTTTGTTGGCAGCA